GGCATTTCCGGTATTTTTGGAAAAACAGGAAGTGACAAAGCGGGGCTAGTTTTCAGCCTGCAAAGCCTGTAGAAGCCTTCCTCAAGCCTTTGGGAGGCCAAAAAAGGCTTCAAACCTGCCGAAAATCAGCTGTAAGACACATGCATGCGCAGTGAGGTAAGTTTGCCTGCAGCTCATGGTCTCCACCTCTCCTAAGCCACAGGAACAGAGTCTTTCAGTCAATTGTATCTTTTTATACTTGCCGTACAGGACGACTGATTGGAAATGCGAGAGAAAATGCTTTCCGATTTATCTGCTGCAGAATTCAAATCTCAAAGTACACAAACTCTATGCTACGTAAGGAAATCAAAGGATATGTCCTGTGTTAATTAATGTCTTCTCTATTTCTAGATCGGCAAAGGGATTTTGCAGACTGTAAAATGCGATCCAGCTTTCGTAGCTGATATTATCCCAGTAGATCTCGCTATCAACTTAACCATTGCCGCTGGCTGGTACATTGCAGTGCATAGGTGGGGCCTCTTTGTTGATCAAGAGATAGGCCATTGAAGTAGAATGATTTTTTTCCCCAAGGCTGCAGGTAGTAAGGAGCTGCCAAAATTGCAATTCCCCATATCCTCATAGAGGTCTTTAAAGCTTTCTGAAAGCCCAATAGTGCCTCCTATAGGCAGTGGTGCATTCACAAGCAATAGCAATAGCATTTAGACTTATGTACCACTTTACAGTGCTTTACAGCCCTCTCTAAGTGGTTTACAGAGTCAGCCTATTGCCCGCAACAATCTGAGTCCTCATTTTAGTGACCTCTGAAGGACAGAAGGCTGAGTCAACCTCGAGCCTGGTGAGATTCAATCTGCCAAATTGCAGGCAGCCAGCAGTCAGCAGAAGTAGCCTGCAGTCTACCACTGCACCACCGTGGCTCATATGTTCCATCACAAGATCCATAATATTGGCTTCTGCCTTGTGAGAGAAGCCAGCATACCTACAGTCTTCATTGCTGGGGTTTCTTTCCTGGGAACAGGTGAACGCTGCCATTTTTTACAATGTTATCGGGAGCACCTGAACAGAGCTCACAGGCAGCATTATTACAACAACTCAGTAATAATTTCAAGGGCAGAAATCACTAGGAGGAAGAGGAAGGCTAATTCTCCTTCTTTTGCTCAGTTTGTATTTCAAAGTGTAGAAAGTCAGCACTGACCCTCCTAGAAGAATGAAATATTTTGAGGAATATTTTTTTTAAAGGCAGAATATTATATTATAATGATCTAAGTGCCAGAGCCCACTGTAACTACATATCCAAAAAGGCATTGAGAGTTGTTAACCGAATCCTGCGTAGCTTTTTCTCCGGTAATATCACACTACTAACTAGACTAGAACATACAAAACATTTGCTAGACCAATACTTCAATACAGCTCATCAGTCTGGAAGCCGCATTACATATCAGATATTAATACAGTCAAGAAAGTCCAGAAATATTTCACAAGAAGAGTTCTCCACGGCTCTACTCGTTGCAGAATACCTTATGCCACCAGACTTGAAATGTTATACATAGACAAGCTAGAACTACGTTGCCTTCGGTCCGATCTAAGTATAGTACATAAAATTATCTACTGTAATGTCCTACCTGTCAATGACTACTTCAGCTTCAACCACAACAACACAAGAGCACACAATAGATACAAACTCAAGGTAAACTGCACCAAATTCGATTGCAGGAAATACGACTTCAGCAACAGAGTGGCCAATGTCTGGAATACTCTACCTGACTCTGTGGTTTCTTCCCCAAACCCCAAACACTTTAACCTTATACTGTCTACTATTGACCTCACCCCTTTCTTTAAAAAAAAAAAAACCATTTTATTTTGGTTTTCACAAAACACAGAAAAATAAAACACCTCTTTTTAGTGAACAGCTTGGTTCCAGGTTTTCAAATTTCCATACAGATATAATCTCAGTTACATATTCATCTTTCATCTTTCATATTGAATTTCATATCTTATCACTACTTTAAAAATTCTTTATTATTTTTTTCCCCCAGGCTTATTTTATAGCTCTCTCAGTCATTTCTAAATCTATTGCATATCCTTTTCAAGGATTTCATATTTTCAAAATAATTATACTTATACTTATATCTGTCCTGTGTACAATTTCAATCCATATCCATATTTCAAAAATTACAAAACAAGGTTTCCTCTATAATTGCCAATTAGTGTGTCACCTTCATATCTTACAGTTGATTCCCTTTCACATCCCATTAAATATTCTACTTCTAAATTATCCCATTAAACAATTATAATTTCCATCACCTAATATATTATAATGTAAATCCCATTTTTAGTCAGATTCTGCATGGTACTTCCCCTTTAAATTACCTCTAAACAATTTTAAGTTTAAAAGAAATAAAAATAAATAAAATGGAAGAAAATAATGAATCAATTCAAATTCATCCTAACCCCTTTCCTAAGAGGTCTATCCTATTGTTTCTTTTTTTATTCATATCCATTTCATGTATTCATAAGCATGCTTATACTTATACCTGTTAACTAATACTCGCTTGACAAAATAAATAAATAAAATAAATAAATAAAATATTTCCATCAAAGGGAGAAATGAAGAAACATATATATTTTTAGAGGCAGGAAGCAGCCCCAGTCTCCCTGCCCCCAAGCAGAAACTGAGGAGGCCATCTTTTAGAAATGCAGATTTGGTAATCCATTCAAGACAGGATCAGTGGTGGCATTCTACTGGTTTGGCCCGGTTCGCCTGAACCAGTAGCTCCGAAGATCATCTATGAGCAAACCGGTTCGCTCCGACGATCAACTGCTGGGCCCTCCCACCCACCGCGGCTCTCTACTGACCTTTATTTCCTGCTTTTCAACCTCAGCTGCTTTGCACAGCACAGATGATTGCCGCACGTCAGCTGTTTTACACACAGGGCTTTCAGCAGAAGGTCAGTTGCAAACATTGTGCATGCTCAAATTGTGCATTTGGCACACGCAAATGATGTGTGCATGTGCAAACCGCACATTCACACCAAACCGGTAGAAAACCTTTTTGAAACCCAGGGGTGGGATTCTACAGGTTCGCACCTATTCACTAGAACCGGTTGTTAACATTCTAAGCAGTTCAGAGAACTGGTTGTTAGAAGAAATTACTGGCCTAATCCTGTAAGGAAGGCAGGAAGGAAACATTCTGGGGTTGCTTACAGAAACTGCCTCTCCATTAACCCTTATTACATTCTTGGCAGGTCTGGACTTCCTGTCTCAGGAACATCTCTGGAGTTTTTTTCTCCTCCTTTGCTGGTACTTTGTTTGTGTGGAGTGACCATTCAAAGTTAGAATGGCTCTGAAAAAAGTGACTTATGAGCGTTCTTCACACTTACGACTGTTGCAGCATCCCCACAGTCATGAGAGGCCAGGCGAGGAGGTGCGTGCCTCGATGTGAGTGATATTGAGTTGGCCATACCCAGCCAGTCACATGATCACCAAGTCACACCCACCAACTAAGCCACGCCCACAGAACCGGTTGTTAAAAAATTTGAATCCCACCCCTGTTGAAACCCACCACTGGACAGGATATTTTGAAACATCCTGCAGCAAAGTCCAAACAAAGGCAGATTGGTAGGATTAGCCCTCACTCAAGATGCAACACAGGTCGAAATCCATTAAGCCACAATAGGAATTTTGCCCAACACCCTTTCAGAACACAAGCCCCTTCATTGCACCATTCCAGAGCAGTCTGAACTTCAACCAAACTTAGCTCAGACAAGCACCTAGGATTTGCATTCCCTCTTTTGCCTATAGAGCCAGCTATGACCCCTACATAACCCCTACATGGCCCTATAGGAATCTGACAACAGCTAATAAAATACATGTTCTTGCACAGGAGCAGGAAGCTCAAGTGCAAAGCCCAAAGAAAGTATAACTTCCCCTCCCATTCTCAACTCCATTTTGTCAGCTGACCAGAATCACATGTTTCTACATCAAATAAATGGACCCTCTTTCCAATCAGTCTCCAGCCTCCATTTTATTTCCAGTGCTTTCTCCTGGCTTGGAACTGAGCCAGATGGATATTTCTTCCAACAAAAGTCTGGAAAAAAAAAACCTTTCATGGACATAGACTCCGATGGCTCTAAAAGAATTTTAGAGGGGAACTCTGGGTCCAAAACCTCAAGGGAAGAAAACAAGCTTGAGTCAAGCAAAGACTGGATTGCTTGAACATTGGAGCACTTCCTATCTGGGATCTGAATGTGATCTGCTGATCACTCCCTTTGTGGTCCTGATACAGACCAAACAGAAAACGATTTCATATAGAAATGTCTGGGAGGGGGAGAGGGAGAGGGAGGGGAGAGGGGAAGGCAAAACCAAAACAAGAGTGGCTGGGATGAAAAACGTGTCCCTTTTTGTGTGTGATGTTTGAAGCTCCAATATGGTGGAGCTTCAATAAAGAAGCTTGTCTTTTTAACCTGCTTTGCAAACACCTCTGGTTTTGCTATAATTTTGGATGTATGGTATATAATCCCACTTATATACACCACTATAACAAATAACATTTTCCCCAAATTTTATTGATTTTTTTATTGATTACATTTTTTAGTCCTTAATAAACATCGTGTTGTCTGGGAATTTAATTTGCTTAACAATTCTGATTATATTCTTAATCTCCACCCCTTTCTTTCCAACCACTGGCAAAATAAAATCCATATTTGATAGTATTCTGTGTCTTATTTTTGCTAAATTTTCAGTGTCAATCTATCCATTTCTGCAGTCTAGTATCTTCTTAATTATCTCTTCATCTCGCAGTGTTTCTTCATTTTTCCAATATTGTGGAAAAATAATCCTTGCTGCTGTTACAATATGTAATATTAAATACATACTTTTCTTATCTAATTTTTCTGATATTATACCTAATAAAAACAGTTCAGGTTTAAAATCTACATGATTTTCTATCATCTTTTCTAGCAACCTGTGTATCTTTGCCCACTTTTTTTTTTTTTAGCACAACTCCATCACATACAATGTGCCCGTCTTTTGATTACATTTCCAACATTTGCTAGACACATTTTTAAACATATTAGCTAACATACCAGGTGGTAAATGCCATCTAGAAAACATTTTCTATAGATTTTCTTTATAAGAAGTTGCCACTGTTATAGTTCCTTTCCCATAATTCCTTTTGCCATTTCTCTACTTCTATGTTATAACCAAAGTTTTTCCCCCCATTGTACCATTGTATCTTTTATTTGTTCATTCTCCATTTTTAAATTTAACAAAAAGTTACAAATAACATATTAATACATTTGGTGTATTATCTGAAACCTGAGTTGTCTTTTATTTCCATTCTTTTCAGACCAGAATCCCTCCTGATTTTCAACTGCACCTCGGGTAGCTTCAACCCATTATGTTGGGGAGAAATAGGTGAGTTTTCTTTCTAGCAAAGGGACAGAGATGATGGTTTGCTGTGTTACCCAGGGGTTGGATTCTGCCAGTTTGGACTGGTTTGAATGAACCAGTACTTCTGGTGATCAGCTGGCCCCGCCTACCACCCCTGCCCTAGTCCAATGGTGGCTAACCTTTTTGGGCTCCTGTGTCAAAAATTGTGTGTGCGCTTGCACACTCATGCTCGCATCCCAGCACCCAGAAGACAATGTGCCCCCTCATGCCCTCTCTGCATGTGCGCACAATTTCAGCTGGTTTGAGGCCCTTTTCAGCCTCCCAAAGGCTTGACGAAGGCTTCTGCAGGCTTTGCAGGCTTTCATCACTTCCTGTTTTTCCAAAAATACCGGAAGTGACAAAACGGGACTAGTTTTTGGCCTGCAAAGCTTGCAGAAGTCTGCAGAAGCCTTCCTCAAGCCTTTGGGAGGCCGGAAAAGGCCTCAAACCTGCCGAAAATCAGCTGTGAAGTGCGCACATGCGCAGTGAGGTAAGTTCGCCTGCAGCTCGCGTGCCAGCACAAATGGCTCTGCATGTCACCTGTGGCACACGTGCCATAGGTTCACCATCACAGCCCTAGTCTGTCCTATATTTTCACATTTTGCAGCCCAGCTGATTGGCGTAGCAATCCACTGTGCTGCGCCTCAGCTGTTTTACTCACTGGGGCTGCAGCAGAAGGCACGTTTTAGAGCTGTTTTCAAATGCTGTGCATGCTCACTGAACCGGTTGTTACACCAGTTGAATCCCACCACTGGTATTACCTTTACAAACAGCAAGGGCTGGGAGTTGGAAGAGGCATCTGGTTGTTTCTTCACAACTTCTTCTCACTATGTAGCTCACTAAAATTCATCTACGTGTTTATTGAGAGTTTTGCAGCAATAATTCAGCGCTAGAAAAATAAACACAGATGGCTGGAGCTTCATTTAACATCTTTATAAACGTAAGTAGATTTTACAAACCAGTTGTAGATTTCTCCAACATGGAGCAAACTCAGACAGAAACATGTTGCAAGTTCAGAGCAGAGCTCCAGCCTTCAGCGAGCAAACAAGTTAGTTTCTTCTTCAATAGACAGACTCAGAGCTCAACATAGCTGCAGAGTTGCGGAGCTTAACATAGAGCTATGCCTAAGTTACTTTTAGTTTCAGTTTCCAGCCTAGGCTAATTCTAGTTTCAGTTTCCAAAACAGTCCTTATTGGCTGATTTAGTTGCTATGCCTGTTCATTGGCTGACCTTGTTACCAAGCTCTATTCCAGTTCATGAATATACTCTGACAGTGTTGCCTTCAGTCTGAAATGTCTCTGCCTCTCTATCTTCTCAAACTCCGCTTCCCTGAAAGGCTCCAGACCATGGGAGAATTTAAAGGTTTTTTTAAATTAAAAAAAACCTAAAGTTTAAAACTTTAAACTTAACTTTTTAAAAAAATTAAAGTTTTTTGTAGATTATAATTTGGGATGTATTTCACAAGTCCTTAACATTTTTTCGCCATATTTTAATTCAGAAGAATGTATCCGGTCCCATTCATCTGCTGCAGAATTCAAATCTCAAAAGTTCATAAACACTATACTAAATAAAAAAATCAAGTTAGAGTTAGAATTCTTTGTTGGCCAGGCACAACAAAGTGATCTGTGTGATCAGGCACACAAAAAATTTGTCTCTGGTGCATAAGCTGTCAGTGTGCATTCAACAAGGGTTTTATCATAGTCATTATAAAAATATGTTTATTATAAACTTAGACATTGACTAAATAAAATAAGGGAGGCAAATGACTCTGCAATACCACAGCAATAATACTACCATGTTTTCCCAAAAATACGACCTACTCAGAAAGTAAGCCCTAGCTTGATTTTTACACATGCACCCAATATAAGCCCTACTCCCAAAATAAGCCCTAATAAAGACCCCCACCCATTCCAGGGTTCACAGGTAAAAATTAAGCTAGGGTAGGGATGGGTTGTGTGGAGCGGCCATACTACTTAGCTTTGAACAGTTGCATCCAGGCAACCAGTTACACCTCAGCCCATTTCTTCTGCAGCCAGCAAGGCTTTCCCAAAGGCCTCTGTAGCTGATAGCAGAGGTTTGGATCGATCCAGAACTCTGTTATGGACTACAGAGGCCTTCAGGAAAGCCTTGCTAGTCAAAAGAGTTCCTGAAGGCCAGGGGCAACATGCACAAGTGAGATCAGTCAGTGGATGACATCTCTCTCGAAAATAAGACCTGGTGCCTTTTTTGGTAACAAAAAAATATATAAGACAGGGTCTTATTTCTGGGGAAACACAGTAATCAGTGGGACTTGCCTGTAGGAAGAGCCGTTCCTTACAGGCAGGGCCTCCATTGCCACTTCATGATCTTTTCTAAATTATATATGACTAATAACCACATCTGGTTTCCTGATGTTCAAAGAACTTTGCCTTCATAAATTCACATGTCCCATCAATTGTCATTTTTTCCATGTAATTACCTCACCGGAAGCACTGTCTGTTTTCTACAATTTCGCAGGAATCCACGTGAAAAATTCATTTGAAAAAAACCCACTGGAGAAACCCTTCAGAATACCAAATATAACCATGACCTCCAGCTATTTGACCCATCAATACTGGACATTTGTCCATCACACCATCCCTGCTTTTCTCTGTGACCTGTATCTGCAACTGATTGGAAAGAAGCCATGGTGAGATTGGATCTAAATTGTGGGGTATAGGGGACGGTTCCAACATAATTCCAGATAACCATTTTAGGGAAGTGCCCTTAAGAATCTGGAAGACATTTTTCCAAGGAGGACTACCTTCTCCATCAATTTGACAGCTTTGGAGATTTATTAGAAGAAAGACTGGATTGACTTGCAGCTTTGCTGATTGCTGTATGTACAAATACCTCATAATTTTTTTTTTTTTTTGTCTTTTAGTGACCCTGTAATTCCTTGCATCGGGGTGGAGTCAGGGCAACTGAATAGAGCAGAGTGTTTACTGGCCAGATGCCCTTCCTGTCACCAATGCAGAGTTCACAGCTGATATTTACTCATTGTGCCCATACCTGCTTTGTTACCTAGGATCGAACTCACAGCCTCCTGATTGTGAGGCAGAGCTCCACCTCTAGGCCACTGCATCACTCCAAATACCTCACAACTATCAGGATAATAATTCCTCCCAACATCTTATAAACAGAAACCATTGCAAATTTAAAAAAATCAATTAATTAAATTAACCTGTAGGAGCCAATGGAGATGGCCTTCAAGAAACAAGACTTTCTTGCATGCCCAGCAGTATCTTCAGAATGGGATCTGTGAATGTCTCTGAGAAAGGCATCCAAGCCTTGGGTAGAGCCTAGTGAAGCAGTGGCCCCCAACCTTTTGGGTACCAGGGACAGGTCCATGAGAGAGGTTTTTGTATGCTACTGTTCTGACCCACGCCCTTTTCCAACAAATCAAATACAATCCAAAGGGAACAGAAACCTTTTAATGCTTCTGCAAAATAATTAGCTGTGATAAGCACAAGCCTTGCCAAACTGTGCGAGACTTGCCAAAAGGTAACAGACAAGAAATAATTTGCAATACAAGAATCTTCAAATACAAACTCAGGATACTGGAATGTCCACGAGGCTGGAGTTTCAAAACGTCTTTGCCTTCTGCAAAGAACGTTCACTTCATAGCTGGCTTTTATCTTCTTGGAGGAGGGGCCATTACCTTGCAGCCTTACTCCCGAGTCGCCCGTGCTGTTGTAGTTGCTCTTTCCTCCGAGCAACCCTGCGCACATGTGCACTTGGCACAGGCTCCTTGGGAACCTCCTCATCACTGCTGCCAGCCCCCACAATCTCCGAAGGCAGCAGTCCACTCCTTAATGGTCCTGGCTCCTCATCTGAGTCCTTGCTCTCCTCAGCCGTCCGCACCTGCTTCCGGCTAACCACAACAGCTACATCCCATGGATGGGGTTTTGCTTGTTTGCATGGACTGGTTTCTAGCATTTGTGGTTGGAGTCCCTTGTAATAGAGGATAGCCCACCTTAGATCTTAGAGCAGGGGTTCCCAACTGGGGTTGCTCGCACCCCCTGGGGGTAGGAGATGATAATCCAGAGGGTGAAAAAACCTGGGTTTAGAAGTTTCAAAATTATAATGTATATGTTGTGATCTGCCAGTGGAGCTGGTGGCAGACTCGGACAGTGTAGAGGCTAAGGAGAGGAACATGGGCCAGTCTTGGAGTCTGGGGAAGGCTCTGATGAGGACTCTGCATTGGCGGCAGAGATGGGGCTAGGGCCATCTGACAGTTATCAGCTGCCTTCGGAGTCAGAGATCAGTGGGGTAGAAGAACAGCTGGAGCCTGTTCCCAGTGTGCTCATGTGCAGAGCTGCCAGAAGAAAGGAACAGTTAAGGAACAAAGGTCGACTCGAGAGTAAGGGCACAGATGGATGATAAATGGCCCCTCCCATAGGGAATAAAGAGGAGCGAAAGGGGAGTGGTGTTTGCAGGAGACAATTAGTTCAATTCATTAAGTTGAAGATCTGTTCCTGACTCCTTGCCAAGTATTGTCTGCTACAGCATGGCATTTGGAAGATATCAGCCTGGCAACGCTCCAAGCCTGATAAAGGCCTGTGATTGTAAATCACCATTGAAAGACTGTTTGCTGGGACTTTGCTGGAGAGGAATTCCCTTTAACCTAAATAAAAGGGGTTTTATTGGGACGAGGAGTCTGCTCAGTGGTGGTATGCTATCGGTTTGGCCCGGTTCTACTGAGCCAGTAGCAGCAATGAGCAGCGGAGACCGAATCAGTTCTCTCCACCACGCTGCTTTTGGGCCCACCTGGGCTCCCATACTCACCTTTATCCTCTGAATTTGAAACACAGCTGCTTTGCGCGGCACGGAATAGTGCTGCGCGGCAGCTGCTGAAGCGACCAGGGATCGTGCAGGCTTGCAGGAGGGTGAGTTAGAACGCCTCTGCCCCTGCGCAAAGGGCTGTTTGGCATGTGCATGCACACAAGCCACACCCACTGAACCGGTAGTGAAAGTTTTTGAATCCCACTACTGAGTCTGTTTCATCATCTTGGGATTATATGCATATAATTATTTATTTTTATGTCAGAAGCATTCTAGGGGTTCAGGGTGTAGAAGACATTGGGACGCCCTGTCCTAGAGGGTTGTGGCACCAAGGACTTTCCAAATTATCCCCTGCTCTGTTGTTTTGAGGTAGGATGCTAGGATCCTAGCTGTTTGAGATGTTTCTATTCTGTCTTTCAGGATGATGAAGCTATTTACTCGCTTGGAGAAAGTCATGAGTCTCCTTGAATATTTTATCAGTCATTCCTGGGATTGGAACTCCGAGAATACAAACATGTTGATGAAAGAGCTCAATCCAAAAGACAAGAATGTAAGAATCTTTATTGAAGCATCCTCATGGATATTTAAAATACGTATTCAGGCTAGATTCCGGTTGCTTTCTGAAAGGACAAATTCCTTCCTCAGAGCTCTGTGAAAGTGGTCAGTCCAGTGGTGGGATTCAAACGTTTTTTACTACCTGTAAAAAATGTTCTCTATGGGTATGGCTTGGTGGGCGTGGTGTGGTGTGGTGGGCATGGCAAGGGAAGGTTACTGCAAAATCCCCATTCCCTCCGCACCCCACTAACCTGCTTTCCAGCTCTGTTCTCCTGTGCAGGGCAACCAAAGAAGACCCAGCCAATCAGCTGGGACTCAATGGGAGGCAGAGAATAGATGGGGTTGGTGGGGCCAGTCAGAGGTGGTATTTACCGGTTCTCCAAACTACTCAAAATTTCCACTACCAGTTCTCCAGAACTAGTCAGAACCGGCTGAATACTACCTCTGGGTCAGTGCCTGTAACGATGTGTGGGAAAGACCTTGGGAGACAGGGTGAAGAAATGTTACATAGAGAATGGTCAGATAAGAGGCAGCATAGCCCATGGCTACAAAGTGAGTGGGACAAGAGGTGCAAAATGTAGAGAAAAGTAAAGTTCTACATTTAGGCAAGAAAAACCAAAAGTACACATATAGACTGGGTGAAACCAAACTCAATAGCAGTAACTGGGAGAGGGATCTTGGAGTCTTAGTGGACAACCAGCTAAATATGAGCCAGCAGTGTGCAGCAACAGCCAAAAAAGCTAATGCAATCCTAAGTTGCATTAACAGAGGGATACAATCGAGATCAAGTGAGGTACTAATACCACTCCATAAAGCCTTAGTAAGACCACACCTAGAATACTGCATCCAGTTTTGGTCACCACACTATAAAAAAGATGTTGAGACTCTAGAAAAATACAGAGAAGAGCAACCAGGATGATGAGGGGACTGGAGACGAAAACATACGATGAATGGTTGCAGGAACTGGGCTTGGCTAGTCTAGTGAAGAGAAGGACCAGGGGAGATAGCAGTCTTCCAATATTTGAGGGGCTGCCATAGAGAGGAAGGGGTCAAGCTATTTTCTAAAGCACCTGTAGGCCAGACAAGGAATAATGGATGGAAACTGAACGAGAGATTTAACCTGGAAACAAGGAGAAACTTTCTGACAGGGAGAACAATCAACCAATGGAACAGAAGTTGCCCTCGAAAGTTGTGGGAGCTTCATCACTTGAGACTTTCAAGAAGAGATTGGACTGCCATTTGTCAGAAATGGTGTAGTGTCTCCCGCTTGGGCGGGGGTTGGACTAGATGACCTACAAGGTCCCTTCCAACTCTGTTAAACATCTGTTAAAAAGACCCTCCTTAGATTTTGGCCTATAAAAGAGAAAGCAGGAGAACTATACTCTCAAGCTTGCAGGTTTCTGCTAATGTAGTTTACCATGAAGCAGAATTATCTTATCTGGTCATATTTCCTGCGTGGTTTACCTATAAAGGAAGACAGTTCCAGAGTTAAGGACAAGGGTAAATTTGAACATTTTTTTTTGTAATAAACAAACAAATAAATAAATAAATATCTAATTGAGGAAATGGACACCCACATACAGCCGCTCCTTCACTGATAATTCAGTGTGCAAAAGAAAGTCAAGAAAAAAATTACCTGGAACTCCTCAACATCTACCTAACCATTTTTTTTCCACTTCTGTATATCTGTAGAGATTCTCCATCATCCAGGTCAAGGTTGTCCCAGTGGTGCTTTTTCAGGAGGCAACTGGACTTCCTTGTTTTTTCTTTTGAAGACGTTTCGCTTCTCATCCAAGAAGCTTCTTCAGCTCTGGCAAGATGGTGGGGAATGGAATGATTTATATTCCTTCCAGACAGCTGGTCATTTGCACCCTTTTAGAGGGTTGTTGAGGCCACTTGGAGGTTTCTCTGTGTCCTCAGGGTCACTCTGAGTAGCGCAAATGATTCCTGTAGTCTGCAATTTTTTCTCTGGAAATCCATTCCTACTGCTGCACCATTCAAAAGGTGTTCATCCCAAATTGTAAATCTAAAAGTCTGTAGAACCATCTTCAAAGAAATACAACAAAGTCCAGTTGCCTCCTGAAAAAGCACCTTTGGGACATTTTTTAAACTTTCCCCCCACATTTTTCACTTATCTTGGCTAGTCTCAGATATGAAAAATATCTGAGAGGCCTGGAGTCCTGCTCTGATTAATGAGGAATTTTCTTCTCCAAAGCTAAATTGATTTTTCAGAAGTCATTTCATATAATATTCAGCGTAAATCAAGAATGAAATAGTCCTTCTACCCTTCTTTGATATTGTCCTCTCCCTTTTATTCCAGTTATTCTCCTTTGACGTTTGTCAAGTGACTTGGTCAGAATATATAAAAAATTACTGCTTAGGAACTAAGAAATATTTGCTGAATGAAGACATGGCTGGAATTCCTGCCGCCCAACAGTATATCAGAAAGTAAGTGTCTATGGAGATTCTCAGTCCTCCAGGTCATGGTTGTTCCAAAGGTGCTTTTTTCAAGAGGCAACTGGATTTTCTGTTTTTTTTTCTTTTTTGGTTTCGCTTCTCATCCAAGAAGCTTCTTCAGCTCTGACTGGATGGACTGGGTCAGTGGCGGGATTCAAATAATTTAACAACCGGTTCCCTGCCCTAATGGTTTCTTCCAACAACCAGTTCACCAAACTGCTCAGGAAGTTAACAACCGGCTCTCCCGAACTGGTGCAAACTGGCTGAATCCCACCACTGAACTGGATCCTACCATTCCCCACCATCCAGTCAGAGCTGAAGAAACTTCTCAGGTGAGAAGCGAAACGTCTTCAAAGAAAAACCAGAAAGTCTAGTTGCCTCATGAAAAAAGGGCCTTCGGGACGATCAGAAAGTAAGGTATATACAATACAATCTTGTATGTTAACTTTCACTACCTGAAAGCAGGTGCTTTCAGGGAATGAAATTGCGTTTGGTCACCACAAAGCATGCTGTGAAATACTTTTGGCCTGAATGTCACACACAGTTTGGAGTGACATATTGTATATGGTGGGGAGAGGTCTTCTCTCCAGAGAAAAACACATCAGGACAAAGAATCAAGCAGAACCAGGAAACACAGCTGAATCTATAGATAGATACAGAATTGAAAGTATAAACATTAATCCGGTACTCCTTGGTTGCGGCTCTTTTCTGCATTTCTGCATTTCCCTTGTTTTAATCACTTGAAGACAGTGTGTAACCAAGGCTGCTCGAGAGCCTTCTCTGTTTCAGAGATAAAGTAGACTTGAATCACAATATTGACAATAACAATCCTAAGAAAGGATTATTACTGTTAGACAGAATCCCATTATGCTATCATCCACGGTCAGGGATGGGTTTTAAATTTTTTAGCAAAAATTTAGTTCTCTGACCAGTTACTGGGTGGGCGTGGCCATGGTGGGTGTGGCTAGTCAGCCTCCTGCATCATAGTGGGGGGGGAGGATTTTTGCCCTCCCCAGGCTCCGGAGGCTTTCCTCGAGCTTCCAGGAGGGCGAAAATGGCCTCCCTGGGTTCCGGAGGCTCTCTGGAAGCCAGAAACAGGCCCAGTGGTGGGATTCAAAAGTTTTTACTACTGGTTCTGTGGGCATGGCTTATTTGGTGGGCATAGTTTAGGATGACCTGACTGGGTGGGCGTGGCTTGGTGGCCATGTGACTGGGTGTGGCCAACTCAATGTCATTCACATAAAGGGGTGTCTCACCTGGCCCCTCCCCTCTTAGCCATTCCTTGTCCATACCCAGCCTCAACTTATCTATAGTTCTTCTTGAGGGAATTCCCCGTTAGGAGAATGAGCGCACACAGGGAGACGTAGTGAGAGTGGTGAAGAATAACACACAACCAGCACACAGATACACTGTATAGTAAAATGTAGGTTTTTACTTCCAGTAAAACAGTTAAGCAAAGTTCAACAAAGAGTCCAAGTCATTCACGGTTAAAGCAGTCAGTTTTTAGTCCAGGGATAATCCAAATAAAAAAGTCCAGTATCATAAACAGTTCAGTAATAGACTTACATCAAATCCAAGAATAACGTCGATCAGTAACAGTCAATAAGGAAAAATGCAGGAACAGCAACACTCTCAACAACAGGACAGGACTAAACAACCCAGGTTTCTGGCTCCATCTTATGGCTGTTTGAGGAACCACACCCAATTACAATTTTAGCATTTCCTTAAAGAGACAGTATTAAAATGTCTATCCTGGTT